CTTCTTTTCTCTCCTCCTCCTTTCTTTCTCTTGTTTTTCTTCTTAATGTTTCTATCTTTCTCCTTTCTCTCTATATCACATATTCTATTTCTTTCCTCCCTAATTCTTTCCACACACTTATCAATTAATTCTCACAAAATATCCACTTAATATTATCACTAATGCCCAAAATACCCTCCAACCTATTTTTACCTGAAACTCTCAAAGTCGGCAAAAATAGCTCAATATGTAAACATAACATATTATCACACAAATTCCACATAAATAAAATAATCACTTAAATAAATCAAATAAGGACTCAATAAAAATGGGAATTCAGAATCGGGGCGTTACACTAACAAGGTTTTCAAGGTCAATGGACAACGGATGAAGCTATTCCATGAGAGTTCAGTACCTGAAGGTGCTACCATCGAAGAGTTTTCTTTGGAAGCATCCAACTACACTGCAACATGACCAGGGAGCACCCTTTCCTTTCTCTCACTCTTACTTTATAATCGAGTCCCCTTCATTGAGGACAATGTCTATTTTAAGTGTGTGTGTGTGGGGGGGGGGGGGGGGGGGGACCTCTATTTAGTTTAGTTTTTTTTTCTTTATTTCTGTTGGTTTTGTTATATATATATATATATATATATATATATATATATATATATATATATATATATATATATATATATATATATATATATATATATATATATATATATATATATATATATATATATATATATATATATATATATATATATATATATATATATATATATATATATATATATATATATATATATATATATATATATATATATATATATATATATATATATATATATATATATATATATATATATATATATATATATATATATATATATATATATATATATATATATATATATATATATATATATATATATATATATATATATATTTGTTTACTTAGAAACACAATGCATTTTTTGAAATTTTTAGGCTATAGATCAATTTGAGGTTAAATTGTGGAGACTTGGGAACAATTCATAAGATGGGTATCGTTTTAACACCTTAAGTCTCCCGAATATGGAAATCGATTTAGATACTTGTTATGACATAGTCTTGAATGTTCTTGTCCTTTAATAGCTCTTAAGTAGTTTGTCTAGCAGTCAGCACCATCTAGAAATCACACGCTAAGTAATTAAGATGATACAAAAAAGTGAATGATCCTGTGCTTAATAAGAATTCAAAATAGGAATCCGCCTTTTAAGTTAGGTGACCCTCACCCGGTCACTTAGGCTAACGGTTGTGAAACCTTAAAAAAAAAAAAGAGAAAAGAAAAAAAAAGACAAAAAGTGTCTAATTTTGAATTGTTAAAAATATATGGATCATAGTCACTAACAAGCTTATTTAACATGTGTGTGAATAGATAAAAGGCTTAATATGATTGCACTAGAATGAAAGAGAGCAAAAAGGAGGATGAGTAAGTTAGACTTAGGCATAATGACATACTTAGGCATAATGACATGATTTGGATTGGTTTGTATAGCCAGCTTTATGAACATACAATTGCGGATTTGTGTTCTTACGATATTCTTAGTGTGAAAAATTAGTACCTATCGATGCAATCTTGACCGAAGAAGAGTTTACAGCCTAGAATGAGTATCTAAATGTTTTTGTGTTTCATAAGTTATGATAATACTTTGCTCGGAGTGCAAAGGTTCAAGTGCGGGGGAATTTGATCAGTATATTTCGATGCACCTTCCTCTATGTTTAGACTTAAGCATTTCTATAGTTTAGTTTGTTTAATATACTATTTTATGATGTTTTTACAATTCAATTTATTTTTAGCCTTATTTGATTTTCGTTTGTTATTTTCAGCATTAGCAGCTTTTAATAAAAAAATTCACAACTGGAGCTACAGGAATCGGATCGAGACGTTCTACCCGTTGTTGGAAAGTTAAGAAAAAGATCTACAACTTTCATGTTGCACGAAGAAGCTGATTCGGATTTCCTGAGTCTCGAATAATTCGTTGAAGTTATGACTGTAATAATTTAGTTGTTTTTCCCTATTGGGTCTGGTTTAGGTTTCTGGCCTAGTTGAGTGTGTATTACAAACCTTATTCTGTTTATAAGGTTGCTGCTATGCTAAAGTAATTGCTACCCTAGTTTTTTCCGAAATTTCTTTTGCTTTTCATGTTTTCCATGGTGAACTAATCCTGAGGGAAAATCTGCCGGTTTTGAATTCCGCAATCCTTTGAGGTTTTATTACAATTTACGATTTAATTCAATTCCTTTCCAATTTGTTTTATAATTTTTGTTTGCTTAATTCGTTCTTATAAAATAGATCGGATTTAATTCGATTGATCTATGCTCCTTATCTTAATCACGGTTAACTTAAATTTTTCGTTAATTTGCGCCATCTTTTACCGTTTGCTTAATTCGGTGATTAGGAATATAAGTCGTGTAGTATTGCCGACGCTTGTTCGTCAATATTGCAACCGAATAGAGATTGGAACCGCTTAGGGAATTGGAATCGTAATGACCGATGATAAGTTGAGAGTCGAACCGGTAGATTAACCTATTTTAATCACTTATTTCAATAATCACTTTTTTTTACTGTTTATTTTCTTAATCGAATTCTAAATCAAAACTTAAAACCCCCCGTAAACCTTTTCTTTTAGTTGGTTGAAATAATACAAGAATCCTTGTGAATCAACATCTGAGTTATTGTCTCTTTACTACATTTTAAAATACTCATTTTTGATCCGTACGCGACAGAGGATCAGACAGCCTTCAGAAGTAAAACATCAGAGTCACGCTCAGAACCAGAATTCAAGAGAGCATTGCAGCAGCAACATATTGTCTTCTTAGAATCTTTCTGAATGTGAATAGATCAGAAGCATACATGTTTCTTATGACGCAGAAGCGACTTTAGTCAGATCAGAGTAACGTTGCACATGGTCTCTATCAGAGTCAGAGTTTTCTCTATCAAAGTTAGAACCTGTTTGTTAATTCTTTAGAAAAACAAACGTTAGAGTACCAAAATTATTCTCTCACAAATACTACTTTGTTATTATCAAAACTTAGAGATATCTTGCAGAACCAAATCTTATTCTAACAATCATATTAAGGAGTAAGACTTCGAAGTACCTTATCGACCTTCATTTTCTCTGTCAACGTCTCTCCAGAATTCTTCATCTAGTTGGTTAATTCTTGAACCCTTGTGAAGAAATCTGATATTGATTTGCCATCTTTCATGTGCAGCATTTCATACTGCTTTCTTTAAGACTGAAGGTGCACCTTCTTGACCTTCACATCTCCACCATAATATTTTTCCAACATATCCCATGCTTCTTTCGAAGTTGCAAGATGAGCTATTTTGTCAAACACCTTCGCCTCAACGCATTCGTGAATGTAAAATAGGGCTTTCTGATCTTTCTTCTTGGATTTCTTGTATGTCGCTTTCTGAGCATCATTCACATTTTTTTCTAGCGGTTGAAACCCCTCTGCTACATACTAAAACATATGTTGAACATTGAAGATGAATCTCATCTGAATGCATCATTTTTCACTATTCTTGTCATCAAGAGCTGGAAGATTTGTAGGAAAGTTGTTGCTGCATGTTCCAACCATAGCTTCAATCACTATTGATTATGGATTTTCAACCAGTCTCGTGATACCATGTGTTGGTGTTATCACACCATTATAATGCGAAAGTTAATTGAGAAAATGTTAGATAGAGTATTAGAGTGGAAGAGAAGAAAAGTGAGTATTTAATATTGAATGAGAGAAAATTATGTTAGGGAAAATATGTTACAAAATCTACACGAATAGTTATTATATATACAGATGGAATAAAGAATTAACTAAATTTAAATTATTAATACAGAACAAATACCCCGTCTTCGTCGCCATCTTCTGTTGTCTTATTAAATTGCAAATCACAAGATGTTTTTTTGTAAACAAATTAGTTCAACACGGAGTATTAGAGATGCTCCAATCCGTTTACAGGAGACTACCACCGACTTATACTATAGACTTACAGAAAATCAGTCAGGTTTTTAATTACAACAAAGTTTTGACCCCCGTAAAGAACACCCACCACCAAGAAAACATAATTATCTTGTCAACAATAACCATAGCAATAACCATAGAACCCCCGATCTTATTGTTAAACATTATCTGGTTCCTCAGCCACTATATGCTCCAACACACCGCAAACCAAATCAAACTCGTATTCTTTTTGCTGCATAAATTCCCCACCTTCAAGAATCAAGCCAAAAATTGATTACTAATCAAATTCTTCTCTATCCAACTAATGCCAACTCAATTACAAATACGCTCCCACACCACCTTAATTCTAGGACAACAATAAAATACATAATTTACATCTTCGTCAGCATTAAAACAGAACGCACAAACTTTTTCCACAAGATGTTAAAACTATTCGAACAACGATTTCATATCTTCAATAAAGGATTCTTTGTATTGATCCATGTATAAGATTGATCTTTGCTATAAATATAATTTATGACTCAATCATTAATAAAAGAAATCAATCCTTTCATTCAATTTCTTTCACTCATTATAAACCCACATTGAGAAAGAATCTCCACAATCTCATATGTGTAATAGGGCACCCCTTTAAAAATTACGGTGTTTCTTACTCTCCTTAAAAATAATGTTGCAAATTAACTTCAACTTTGAAATAGAAAACCAGCTTATGTCGCAACTAGAAGACAATAGTTCTCTCAACCAACTCCAATCTTGTTGGAAACTGTTATAATCTGTTGCACGAAATTTATGATACCCAGGACAAACAAAACTACAACATCCATATATATAGATATAAGGGTAGAAAATATATAGATTTTGAAGAGGTAACAGCAATCTGATAATTTAAAACTTAGTATTTAACTCACTAGACTTGGCAATGGCAATGGCACCAATAATGATCAAAGAACATATATAGCTTTATAATAACCCTAACAACGTACAAACATTCAGCTAGAAATAGCAATATAGCATCATGCAAGACCAGCCTCCAATCCTTTGAATGTATCATAAAGAGGCATATTCAATGTCTCCGGCAGATAGAATGCAATCATCCCACCTAAAATCCCACACACTGCAAACACCCCAAACGGCAACCAACCACCCAAAACCACCACAAAAGGCACCAATATCGCCCCCATTTGCACCGCTTGCGCTGTACTTCCAAGCGCGGTGTTCCTCACCACCGTAGGAAATAACTCCGTGGTGTAAATAAACAACAAGTTATAAGTCCCTGCTATCCCAAATATACCTAAAACACCACATACCATTTTAATCACTTTCCACACCCCTATATTACTCATCAAACTCCCCATTAAACAAAAGAATCCGCTAAACCACATTGTCCCTATTGTCAATGGCTTCCTCCCGAATCTATACGACAACACCGCCATTAGCATGAACGCCGGTAACTCTGAAACGGCATTCAGAAGCACGTTCATGTAGAGGTTGGTCTCGAGATTGGTAACGTTTAAACTTAAACCATACCACATCACCGAGCTTAAGAAGTTAAGAGCAACCGCTAGAATTAACCTAATACGCGTAGCTGGGTGGCGAATAACATCGACAATGGATCCACCTTGCGCATCCACGAAATCAAGATCATTTGTTTCATTTTTTGAGTTTGTTACTTCTTCGTCGAGTGCGAGGACAACTCCTTCTGGAAGATGATTCCCATTGAAAGAAGCAATGGTGGCCATGAGCGTAGTAGCTTCTTTTATTCTTCCTTGAATGAGGTACCATCTTGGGGACTCAGAGATGAAGGGAAGGACGAAGATTATGTAGAGGAGAGAGGGAATGGATGTGACCATATAGAGTGTGCGCCATGTTTGGAAGATGTAAGCGATGCCAGAGAGAATTGCAATGCTGCCGGAGAAGAAGTAGAAAGTGGATAAACCTGCCGTGCCGCGTTTTGATGGACCAACAGGTTCGGTGGCGAGGACGAAGGCGCAGAGACCAACCCCGCCGGTGCTGAAGCCAGTGAGGAGGCGGAGGAGGAGATAGGTCCAATAGTTAGGAGAGAGTGTTGTTAAGCAGCCAAATATGGCGCTTAGGGCACAAACCACAGTGAGAGATCGTTTTCTTCCTAGATATGAGTCTGAAAGGTGACCAAATACTCCAGCTCCTGAAATTACAACATCTATGGTATGATTATTTAGAAAATGGAAAAGTTATCCATAGTAACTAAATATGCTTTATACTTTTTTTAGCTTTAATATTAGTAAAAAAATTTTAATCCTTGTAACATCCAATTTAACCTTTATATTAAACAACTTAAAAGTAAATATTTTGTATAGTATAGGAAATATTACATCATGCTAACAAATTATTTAATGACACTAAGTAAGTAGAAAGTAGAATAATAAGTTAAGTATATCATTTTATTTGGATAAAGCGAGCCTTCTCGAGTTAGGTTCTATATCAAATTCTGAAATTAAACTAAAAAAAGATTTTTATCATCTAGTTGGTTATAGAAAAATTCTTAGATAAAAATAACTATGAACACTTAGTTATACATACATTCAATTATATTTTTTTTATTAATTAAAAAAAAATTCTCTCTCAGTACATCATAATTATCCTATAATTCTAATTAAAAAAATTAAATTTTAATTAAATTTATAATTTTCTCTCTCTCTTGTTAGATGTTTCTAAAAATATAAATTTATGTGTGCTTTCATACAAATATTTCTTATAGATACTAATATTCAACCAAATCAATTATATTTGTTTTATAAACAAATGTCCTAAAGTCACTCAATAGCATTCTTTAAAATATTAGGAATCAAAAGAAAAAAAAATGGAATATCTCCAAAACTTGAAAATTAAATATATCTTTCATGGAAATTAAATTCAAAACTCTTTTAATCGAGTAAGTTCAAAACAACTTGTAGATAAAAACGACTAGATATAAACATTTTCTTCCAGACACATGACAAAGGTTTGTTGCTTTGACACAAGAAAGATGATCATGATTTCATCCTTATCGACACAACTCAACCTATTTGTAGTTTTGGTTAAGACAAGTTTGATGCGTGAACGACTCTAGTTATCGTCGTTAATTACTATCGTCCCAAGTCATCTGGATTATCGACATCTTCACTTTGCTTCTTCTGAGCTTCTTTTGAAGTTGTTCATGTGGGGGTTGTGGTTTGAGGTATGGTTCAACATGAAGATTGGGTGGAGGTTCGACGGGGGAATAAGAATTGTGAAAAATCAACAAGGAGATCAATTTGGACAGGCAGAGGTGACAAATCTATGGAGGTCGGAGATAAAATAACCTCGTTTTTCTTCACCGAATTCCCAAACGATCATGAGGCTAAAAAGATGTTTGATGTATTCAAAGAATACAAGCTTGTATTGGAGGTGGTAATCCCGCCAAAGAGAGATAAGTGGGGAAAATGATATGGATTTGTACGCTTCAAGAATGGCGAAGATGATAGACTCATGACAGTCAAACTTGACAACATTATAATCAATGGGAAGAAGATTTATGCCAACGTGCCCAGACTTCAAAGAGTGAGATTGTGGCCTCGTAATGGTGGAAATGTGCATCATTCAAAGAGGGTGTATTTGGCTAAGGGGCGATCAAACTTTATCGATGGGAATCTAGGACATAACATCAGACCTAATATTTCATTTGCTCAAGTGGTGGGTGGATATAGATGGGGTCTCAGGAATAATCATGCAGGAAGAGGCATAAGAGATAAACAGGAAGACTTCAATAAGAATTTTCTGGGCACAAAACCTTCATTTGCGCACCTTTAGTTTAAGGTTAACAAGGAAGAACTTCAAAGATTTGAAAAGCGTATGTTGGCATTGTGGAGAAATCAGGTTCGACTTATAGCATTCAAGATGCACTACTGGCTGAAGGATTTTTCCATATTAAGGAAACTCCTATGGGTGCAAACCTCTGCCTCTTAGAAGAAGATGTTCAAGGGAGATTACGAAGTGGATTAAAGAAGAGGAGATCTAGGTATCCCGTTGGTTCTTTGAGATTCATCCATGATCGCCGGATGACATGGATAACGAGAGACTCACCTAGATGTGCTGTTATGGACTTCCTTGTCATGCGTAGTCCTCCCGTTTTTTTTAATTTTATAGCTGGAAAGGTAGGCATATTCATTCAATCTAACGATGAGACCGAAAGTTTGAAGAAGATGGATGTTGCCAGGTTTCTGGTAAAAGTAAAATTCTCCATTAATCTAAATGAGGTATTCAATGTTCAGGTGAACAAAAGGATTTATAGGATCAAATTGATTGAGGATTCCCATCGTCCAATGAGGATCGATCCTTTAAAACGGAACAAGAGGTTGAATGTTACTGATGATTCTAGTTTGAGGATTGATGGTGATGAAGATGATTGGGGTGACTCAACGGAGGAGGAAGTGGAGGATGAGGGTGGAACATCACCAGAAAGATCAGGTAACGGCAAAAAATAAGATGTGATTTCCAAAGTTCTAGGCAACGATCAAGGTAGTCCAATGGGCGTGATGTAGATGGAAATACGAGAAAGCTGACAGAAAAAGGTGGTGTGTCTACTTCTGTGGTTTTGGGTAACAAAAAGTGAAATATTGGAAGTAGGTATGAGGACAAGGTTGTACAAGAGGACTTAGGTCACATATCAAATCTAATTGATATGTTTATGACTAAGAACGAGGATGTGGAACCTAAAACTCTTGGAAGTCAGAGGGAGGATTTAGTGGTTACTAAGGTTGTTAGAGATACAACCAAGTTGGATGTTGGGCCTAACATATATCCAATATCGGTTACGGACCCTTTAAATGGCGGCCTAGATGTGTTAATAAAGCCCGAGAAGAAGAAATTGTTATATGACATATACAAAAATTTGAAGATCCCTTTTTCATCCTCTTACTGTTCAGCCTTAATTCTCTCTGATAATCCTAAATTGGATTTCCCTATATGTTCAACCTCAACTTTACCACAAAATCTAGATATTAGCCTTAGTAGCTCCTTTTTTAAAGATTATTTATCTCAATACTTTGAAGGTTGTGTGCTCTGTTGTGATTTAATTGGGGATTCTGATGTAAATCAAAGTAACTCTCGCATTTTGAGGAAACTCGAGGATGTTCCAACCAGGGTGTGGGAATCAACTAAAACGTTGTGCATCGAAGGAGATGAAGACGACGTGGTTTTCGCGGGTATCATAAAAAATGAAGAGGCCAATGATAGAGCTCCAAATCAAACTCAGGGGGAGGTTGAAAATATGTGTAGATGAATTTTGTTAGCTTTAACATTAGAGGATGCGGTGGCAGTGCTAAGCGCAATAGAATCAATGGAATCATCACAAAGGGAAATGCAGATGTCTGCTTCTCGTAAGAGATCAAGTGTAAGAATATGGTGGATAGTACAGTAGGTAGTTTGTGGGGAGACACAAATTGCAATTGGTTCGCGACTGACTCAACTGGGCTAGTAGGAGGTATATTGATAATATGGATAAAGGATTTCTTGTATCCTTTTGCCAGTTTTCGGGGGAATGGATTTATGGGTGTGTATGCATTGTGGAAGGGGAAAAACTATATCTTATTAATATTTATTCTTCTTATTGCTTGGCTGCTAAGAGACGTATGTGGGCCAAAATTTTGAATTTTAAGGCTAGAGTGGATCTTGGGGAGTGGCTTTTAGGTGGTAATTTCAACGCAATAAAAAATATGGAGGAGTGTAAAAGCAAGCGTTCACATTGTACGACTGGAATGGAAGATTTTAGGGCTTTTATTGACTTAATGAATCTTGTAGACCTTCCTACATCGGGGAGTAAATTTACTTGGTTTAGCTCTAATGGAAGAAGCAGTAGCCGCTTGGACAGATTTCTACTTTCTTATGACTTATTGAAGGATTTGAACACTGTTATGCAAATTGTAGGCAACAAAGACATGTCAGATCACAGGCATGTACGACTCAAGGCTAAGAATGTGAATAGGGGCCCAAAACCCTTTAAAAAAATTCAATTGTTGGTTTGAACGTTCTGAATTCATTGCGTTTACCGAAGCAGAATGGAACTCGTTCGTGGTTGAAGGTAATGATGCATACTTGCTGACAATGAAATTCAAATTGCTCAAAGAGAGAATTAAATGGTGGAACAAAAATATCTTTGGATGGTTAGATTTAAATGTGAATTGTGAGGCTGACATTATTAATGAGGTGGAGGATTTCTTTTCTACTGCTATTGGTGTTGCTTCTAATTTATAGAGCTACAAAGGAGAAGACAGGCTCAAATTAATTCTTGGAAGAATATGCGCATTAGAGACAGTATTATAAAACATAAATCAAGGGGTAAAAAGATCCAAGACGGTGACCAAAATACCAAATATTTTCATGCCATACTTAGTCACAGAACCAGGAAGAACACCATATCTTCCTTCCTTGTTGATTTTGAATATGTGGACTGTAACGCCCATTTTAATTATCTAGTTTTTTCTGTGTTATTTTAATTGCGGTGTGTTTCGTGGGGTTGTGTCGAGTGCGTGGAAGTGCCCTTAAGTGTGGAGGTTAATTGATAACTTTGGACCTTAAGAATAATAATATAATTATTAATGATAATGATAGTTTAATGAATAATAGTAATATTATTAATATTATTATTATTAATATTATTATTATTATTATTATTGTTATTACTATTATTATTATTAATATTATTATTATTATTATTATTATTAATGGAATAAAAGAATTAGTAAGAAGGGGTATTAGGGAGTGTTTGGGAAGAAAGAATTATTGGAGAGGAAAGAAGAAGGAGAACACGATAGAAGAAGAGGAAATTGGAAAAGAAGAACACGATCAAGATTGAAAGGAAGGATCAAGGAGGAAGAGGAAAGCTTGGATTTCTGAATCTTCTACAACTTGATCGAATTTTCGAGGTAAGGGGGGGGAGGGGAGAATCGGGTCGAAATTAGTATTTGCATTAATTTTAGGTAGAGGGGGATTTCCCTAACCCCATAGGTTTTGATGAACTTAATTGTTATGTTGTTGTGATTCTGAGTTGTTGCTGATATGATAAAACCATTGCATGTGATTGTTGGGATGATTTTGGGGATTTCGGTAGTTTACAATTTTTAGGCCGAAAGTGAATAGTTTGGTTGAGCCGAGGTTTTGTCGGGTAGA